CAGCACTGGACTGGACTAAAGAGGACCGAGCAAAAAACAACAAGAATCTGGCAGACAAGCAAGTATATAAATAGACCGGGAGGGGTAATCAGACTTAAGAAACAGGCATTGCTGAAATTAGAATAAAGAAAACAGATTGAAATAAACAAAAGAACCTAATAAAAACCTTTTTTTATTCCTTTTTTCTGTGCTTGATCTGTTCTTTTTCTCAAGCATGGTCAGATATCTGTATTTAGTGGCTTTTCCACACATTTAAGTCTTGCATGCTTAGTACTGCATGCTGTGTTGCTAACCATGTAGTTTTTCTTATTTATGATCTTTGTTTATTTTGTCTGGACTTATTCCTTATTTTGGATTAAGAGTTTATTGTATTTTATTGCAATGTTACTCTATTTAGTTTTTAGTAATGTCTGAACCTGTTTGTTTCCACCGCCCCCCTGAATGCCTCGCTGGCTAAGGATATGTCTGTTATTCTGAACAGAAGACAGTTAATCACAGTTTTTTTGTTGTAAAAAATTGTCCTGCAAAGAGTAGCTAGATAATAAACCTCTATGATTGATAGTTTATGCTTAATAATCAGACTAACAGTAGATTCAAGCTGTTTCTTTGTTGGGGCTCTTCTTTTTCACAGAACTTGTTTGTTTTCTTAGCTGTAAGCAAACTCAGCTCATGTGGCCCAGTGGATGATCTAATTAGCTGTTATGTGTTTAACTAATATCATTAGGCCAAATGGGTCCCATCTAAACAGCGCAAGAGGAGCCTGCTGAGACGGGGATACGAAAAAAATCAGGGCAGGGAGAGTAAAAATGTGGGATAAAAGTAGGCAAACATGCACAAATGAGTGGGATTTTTTTGTTTTAAATCATTTATTGTGAAAGTGAGTAAATAATGAAGGACTATGCAGATGGCTTAATGTGATTTAAATGGGTTTGGGCCAAAATGAGATGTTAACAGCATAATAAGCCTGAGTCAAATTACCACAATGTTCCTGTATTAAAACCAAACATGAACTAATTGCTTTTATTCAACAAGATAGAAATATGTTCGCCCAGTGATGACAAAAGGAAATTATATTGTTGATCTACTTTAGTCTGTTAGTTTTCTCTTATTTTTATTGTGAATTTTAAGTGTTAGTTTTTGGTTACTTGTTTCTTGTCAGGTTTATATTTCTACTTTGAGAATGTTGTGTGTTCATTTGGCTCTAAGCCTTTAATTAGTTTGGCCATTTGGGTCTTTGTTATGTGTGCCATTAGTTTAGTTTATTTAGTGTTTGCCAGTTGCTTTCCAAGTTTTTTTCTCTTGCTTATTTCTCTGCATTTTTACTTTGCTCTTAACTTTCTCTAGTCAGTATTTCCGGATTGTGTATTTATGCTTTTAGTTTACTTCTTACAGTTTTTAAAAAAAATCCCTGTCAGCCATTTTCTCCCCTCATTCTGAGCCTTCTGTTAATTGGTGAATCTTCTGCACCTTTTTCTTTTGTGTTCTACTGTTTGCGGTCGCGTCCTCCCCTCCTTAAGGTCTCTGTCTTTTACTGGTTTTCATCTTGTTTTCAGTTTCTGTTTTTGTTTCCGTTTCTTCTGCCTAAATGACTTCATTAATATATTTAAACTCACCACGTGGCTCTTTAGCATCATTCTGTGTTTTGTTCCAGAACAATCGATTATGATATTTTTATTTATTACTTATTTTTATTATTACCTTTTGTAATAAATGTTGATGTGCCTGTGGTCAAAATATTCAGTAGGTTTCTTTCTTTAGTAGACATCAGAAAATGATCAGTCTGGTGCATATTAGTCTCAGAAAGTGAGAAATAGGTCCTCCTTAGGGTCTGAGCTATGCTTGTCTTTCTTAATGATTTAAATTAATTAAGAGCCACGTTGTCAATCTTTAAATTAATGGAAAAGTTTTTTTCTGAATGACTGTCTTTGTGTTTTATCTTAAAGGGGAACACTGGTTTTTTTTACATTGGGCCCTTGATTTTACGTTATTCCATCATGTTCTACTCACCAATATGAGTATTTAGTGTCATTTGGAGCTGTTTTTAAGATATTCAGTTTGGTTATATCCAGTAACGTCCTCCTATGGGCAACGAGTGGAAGGCACAAACTAAACTGTTGATAATTTATTCTTTATGGTACGCCAGCATTCAGAACATGCAGGCGAATCACTGCCCCTCAGACATCCGCGGTTATATTTTTCATATTTGTTCTTTATGAACCATAAAGAACAAATGATGAACAGTTTAGTTTGTGCCTTCAAATCGTTACCCATAGGAAGACGTTACTGGATATAAGGAGACAGGAATACCAGTGTCTCCACAGCTTAGACTGGAATCAGATTGCACTACGTTTGGTAGTAATATCATTGCCAGATGCATTTAACCTACAGATAAAACTATACATTGACTTTTGTTATACAGCATGTAAGGTATGGACTCTTGCTGTGACAAACATCTCACTCGCACTAGTCCATCTAGGCCTTTTGAAAAGTACCCGCAAAGCATCATTAAAGGCCAGTGGTTTGATTTTTACTTTTTTTTTTTGAATGACTATGACCTGGATGACTGAGAATCTTCCCCAGCACAAACAATAAAACTTGTTTTTAGTAATTACAATAATGATCACAAAGTTAAAAGTTGCAGAGATCCAGTGTGCAGAAATCTTTTGTTTTCTTCTAGATGTTTTGAAAATAGTATAGTGAGGAGTATGAAAAAAAAACAGATAACAAAAAAAACGTCCAAATCAATATCATGTATGAGTGTTTAATATAAATAAAACCCTGGCAGTTTCCAGTCATTTTACAACTTTAACATTTTTAGCTTTTGAATAAAGTGTTGTATCTGACATGTGAGTGAAGGGCGTGTTGACAGTCGTTTGACAATCATTACTGAGGGATGAAGACTCAAAGTTAGCCACGTTGGTATCAGTGAAGTGTCTGAAAATCATCAGGCGCCGCAGAAAATACTAAAAACAAATGTCTTCTGTTTCCTAGAGATAAGGCTAAATTAAACAGTGATACTTTTATTCTTTTTAACCTTCAAAGTCCTTCAGCCATTAAAGATTTGGAAATCTTCCAACTATTTAAAAGTGATAGAAACAATACCTTTATATAGTATTGTATAACTCCTGGTGACAGTTTAATCAGAAGAATTGTAGATAAAAATGTGGATCAGCACAAAGCAAAGGTTGAAACATATCCCAGCAGACTGAGGAAAGGCAGCAATGGCTCCCATCTTATCTCAAATTATTTATGTGACATTTTAAACATGTGAAGAGTTAATTTGCAAAAAATGATAAGATGTTAGGCATTCAAATATTCAAATGGGTAGTGTGGCCGAGTGGCTGATCTAAAGGCTGATTTATACTCAGAAACCAGGCCGTCTGCGTGTGTCACACTGGGAACGGTTTTCGGCCCTGGTAATTTTCCCATCTACAACGGCCCACTTATGGACTCCCCCCTCCGAAAAAAAATTAAAAATAGAAGCACAGTCAAACGCGTGCGTCTCAAATGACAAAAACACGAATACACATTGTGGATTAACCGATCCATCTTCAAGCATTACACGACAACCATCATCAAGACTTTTAGAATGCAGTTTTACCGGCTTTGGTTATTAACACGGACGCCCAAATCTCACCCAGTTTGAACCAAAGTCTATTAATCTGTTAGGCCATAAATCTAAAGAAAAACATTTTTTACCCATAGACGGCCATCCTAAACTGCCAGATTGGGAAACATCCCAACCTGGCAACAATGCACGTAAGACGTTAGCCTTTAGATGCAAACCTCATCATGCACCGCAACATATTTTTGCAAAATATTCTAACATAAATTCGAGAGGAACATCTAATTTTTTTTTAAAGAAAGCATTTTATTTTAATTAGTTTTATTATAATTTAGTTTGTTGCAGGGATTTTACAGTTTAGAAAATAGAAAATTACACCATATGCCAACCTTCACAAGGATGTGCATGACAAAGGAGGGCTACATATACTGCATGCATCATTTCAGTAGTTAACGTTGTATTATTTCTTGAGCTCCTTGAGGTATTTACTGTCACAGACAGGACCTTTGGTCGGAGAGTAAGTGTTAGGGCCGGTATGAGGGCCGGCCCTAACACACTGAAATTAGGACCGGCCCATCGGGCAAATGCCCGGTTTCAGTCCGAGCCTGCCTCTAACCTCTTCTGCAGACACTCTGCTGCTCCTCTCCAAAATTGTAGGTGACCGCAGACAGTGCCGCAGACAGGAGGCATCTGATTGGTCAAATCTAGCAGACAGTGCCGCAGACAGGAGGCCTCTGATTGGTCAGATCTATGTCTTGTTCTCTGAGACAGTTTCAAGTACCTTGTTTGATCCCCACAGCCTCCACTCTGGGTTCCTGGGTAAGACCCTTAACCCCACACTGCTCCCTGGGCGTTACACAATGGTTCACTCTACATCTACATTAAGTGTATATAAAATTACAATAAAGGTTTTCTAAGTATACATTTCCCAAAAAAAACATACTTTTTATTAGTAGCCCCAGCTTATTTTTTTCAAAAATGGCTTTTTTCTTTTTATGCAAAGGAACTCCGTATGTCGTTCTTGAACAATGTAAGGTCCTTCACTGCAACCTGTTGTTATTGGAATGAGATATTTCAACGATTATGCAGTAGATATGAGCTGTTATAAGCATTAGCTGGTCGGTGTTACAGCACTAACAGTAAGAACATCACTGGGATTTCTGTCAGAGAGCTGCATCCCCAGCTAATTTCTCAAACTTTGGCATCTCAGTAGCCCTGAGCTGCAGAGTTAAATGCTGTGCTGACGGGTAATTCATCATTGGGGCTCCTGGACTTTACGTTATCCTACCAGAAGATAAATGTGCATCATTTTGAAATCTTAAACACCCCTGGAGGAGGTCATAAAGACATCTAGAGAATGCCTTTTAAAGCTGGAATTTGGATATTGTTATTAAAGCCGAAGGCTGTTTTTGAACATCACTGTTTGTCTTCCTAGGATTCAAGTGTCCAGTCTGCTCCAAGTCTGTGGCGTCCAATGAGATGGAGGTTCACTTCATCATGTGTCTCAGCAAACCTCGCCTCTCCTACAATGGTACGAAAACATCTGAATCAGTTTTTGTTTCTTTGCATTTTCCTACTTGGTGTTTTTGACGAAATTGCTGTTTGCTTTTTGTCTGAGAAAATACTGAGAAAGAAGTGTTTTCAATCACTTTTTTCAGATTTTCACTGCAATACAGATGGGTGTTTAGAACAAGATCTACAAAGAGATCATGCTTTTCCTTCCAAAACATAATAAATATGAATGAGATGCAATCAATAAAAGATTAATTATGAATTTATAGAATAACTTATCATAGTTCGGAATATTTAATTAAGAAACGCATAAACTAGCAAACCACCCGGGGAAACTGGTTTGTGGAGGCAACACATGTCATTTTTCACAGCTTTTTGGTGCCATTTGACCTCCACTATGTCTGTTTATTTCTATAGCCATTATTCCACTGGAGCAGTTTTAGAGCTGCAACAGTTTACAGTAAATACAACTTAATCACCCAAAACACTGAACTAGTTGTGCATTATATGGAAAATCTTTTTTTTATTTACTGAGGCATCAATTCCTTTCTAACTAAATTTCTTAAAATTTCTTCTTGAAAGTAACAAACGCAAACTAATCTGTTTTATTGGTGTTTTATATAACAACTCCAATTAGTGCATAACTGAGAATCTTTTTTAGCGGTATTAATATAATAAAACCCTTGCTTTTGCATTTAACGCCCTTTGCTTGATAATAAACAGTTGCATCTGGATCTTGCTTACCTGCTAGACTCCAGCTGGGAGTGATTTACTCTCATTAAAAAAATCCAGCTGTTCTCTGAACGCCTCGTATTTTTGTTACATAACGGTGGTGAACAAACTGTATTCTGCAGACGAGAACAGGACAGTAAGTTCAAGGATAAAGTGGAGAATGTTTTCGTTAGTTAAGGTTTTGAAACAATATCCCAATATTTGAATGTTTCACAGAGCTTTGTTCAGTCTATCACTAGAAGATGGAACGATTATGGCACAATTTCAGACAAAGTCATCCGTTTTAGCCTAAAATCAGGACCAAGACAGTATTAGAGAAAAATAACCATGGTCCGTTTGGAGCAGCTGCAGAGATCCACAGCTTAGGTGAGATAATCTATCAGCAGGAGAACGTTTAGCTGTGCTCGCTGGGTTTTATCGACGGGTTCAAATATTGGAATTGCTGTTTGGAAGTCTAGACCTAAATCCAGCAGGGAATTTATAATAGATCCCATAAATGATTGCCTTCCTGCTGTAAATGCTACAGTAATATTTTACTTGCTGGATGTGCAAAGCTGAGAGAGACTTATCCCAGAAGACTTGAAGCTATAGAGTTAAACTTTGTTCCTGTAAGTCTTTAGTCTAGCTGATGTCAGCAGGATTAAACACATACAGTATATCAGGCTTTTAAATTAGCCCTTTTTTTATTTGAATGTATATCCTGTTCCTTCCACTTCACATTTATGTACTGCTTACACACTCAGTCCTAATGCTACAATTTGTTGTTGTACACTGACAGAAGTTTTTAAGAAGGTCTAAGGAAATTAGGGAAGAATTGCATATGATAAAATAAGATTAGTTTTTTTTTTTATTGTGCTGCAAAACAAGAGATAGGAATAGTTATCTTCAGTAATGTAAAGATCATCGGTGGAAATCCTCCGAGAAGTAAAATATTGTCTCGTAGTGAAGAAAACAAATTCTGCTCTTATTTCTGTACTTCTGTAACCTGACTCTTCCAGATGGATTTGCTCCGCATATCCATCTGGAAACCTTCCGTTGAAGTAATTTTGGGAAGGGGCGAAAATACTGGTTAGCTGATTGGCCTATGTTGGCGATAGACGGGCCAAATAAACCAATCAGATCAACAAAGCATATGACGTACTAACAGAGCGACGACGAAGAGGAGCCAATTGATAGATCAAACTCTTGCTGAAACCAGTCGGGAGAAGAGCAAAAACATCTTTTCCTCTGAGAAAAGCCTCCAGAGCAGTGTTTTGCTCTTCTTTCAGTGAAGAAATACTCTGTAATTCCCATAAAACTTGCTCGATAGCCACGCTAACGCTAGTTTCATCGGCTGAAGCCGCCATGTTCTTTAGACTGAACGGTCGCGCTTCTCGTTGCGTCACACCTAAACCCGCCTCAAAGCCAACGCTGATTGGACGTTCGTTTGGTGAACGGCTCCAAATTTTCTTTAACGGAGAGTCTCCAGACTGATCTGTGAGTGAAACCTTGAAAGCTCGCGAGATCAGGATGGTCTCACGAGGCTACTACTTCTGCACATCACTGGTGATAATCCAAACTTCAGGTATGATCCACTTATGTGCTGATATACTGGAAAAAAATAATTAATAATAATGAAACATGACAGCATCTTAAGGCTCAATTTCTAAGATGATTAATTAATTTCATTTCTGGTAACTCCTTCAATGTAACCTCTTAAAGGTATGTTGGAGGATGTTCTTTTTCCGGGTGGATCATCTAAATAGGTGGTCCTCGTAATTGTCAATCATTCTGGTGATATATTTACGTAAGGCCGTCCTACGTGCTCGTTCCCATTTTTAATTACCGGTGGTGAGTGTGACAGTGGAAAAATTGCAAATCTCCTTTTTGAAATTAAGCTTGTATGAGCGTTGCAAAAAGCAACTTTTAAACAGAGCGTGCACGAGGAGAAAGGGGCTCGTGTATGTACGCACTTAATAGGCGTTGCCTCTCGGGAGCAGGTACAGGGTTGTGCATGTGCTTTTTTTTTTATAGTGGAGAGGGCGGGTTTTTTCAGAAATTGGCGAAAATGCTCCAGTATACCTTTAATTTGATTTATTTAGTAGACCCTAGCCTAATTGAACTCAACTTAAACTCAATCAACTCAAAACATTTCAATTTATTTTTAATGTGCCAATTCACAACATAAGTAATCTTAAGGCATTTTACAAGAATAATTTAATCAGTCCTACTACAGATTTGTTAAAAGTTTTCTATCTTGAACCAGCTGATTGCCTCTAGTCATTAAATTTGCAGGATTTGCTCCTCCTGGATCAGCATGTGGTGAAAGTATATGGTTGCTTTCAATGTGTTTTTGACTCTACAGCAATATATATTACACATATATATGTATATATATACATATATATATATACATATATATATATATATATATATATATATATTTTATTAAATACATTTGTAATTGATATCTGCACAAACAGAGGGACCAATAGTCTACACAGAAATAAGATTTTTTTGTCTCTGGTGAGCCAGGTTCTTCTAACCAGAGTTAAAAAAAATAAATAAATAAATAAAAAATCGCATTTAAATGTTCAAAATTCTGGATAAGTTCAACACGTGGACTTCCTGTACTCTATAGGTTTATTCAATCCATTTATAACACAGTATAAAAAAACATGAAAAATAGATAAGAGGAGCATTTTGTTGGAGTTTCCATCAGAATTTTAAAAAATCAGCAGATCAAGAATTTAAATTAGCATCTTTAAACTGTTAAGGGGGCTTTGTTTAACCATCAATAACTTCAAAGGTTGATGCTCAGCTCCATCTCACCCCTGTTTAACACTCAGAATGAGGGCGCTGACCATGTCAGGATATTTTATATATCTGTATTGATCTTCTGTGTGTTGCTCCTATAGCTCTTCCTTCCCTGTTTCTGCACCAACCCGCTTGGCTCTTCCTGTTATCAATGATTTCACTGATTTTGTGTTATGTCTGCTAGTTACTCCTTATTGTGTTTATTTCTTTATACCATTAACACCTGATTATGTTCTGGGCCAATTTGTTGGACTTATAAATGATGCCATATGTGGCAACATTGTTGGTTCATGATTAAATTGATCTCAGCAGTCAGATGCCTGTTAGCTCATAGATCCATCATAATGAGCTAAAATACCTTCAAAAAGTTAAAGCATTCAACTACCTAAAGATTGGGCTGTTGAGCATCATCTGTAGACCAAAACAAGATGTGTGACTGGCTATAGAGTATAAAGAATACGTATGTTTAATAAATGGAAAGAAATAAAAAAAAAATCCAAACAGAAATTAAACTTTATAAACCTACTTATTAAAATAAGGTTTTAAGAATAACTTTTTTCAAATACCCATTTTTTTTCATATTTTCCTTTTATTTATTTTTCTGTTTATTTTGAAAGATTTTTTTTTTCTTTTTTCTGATTGAGTTTTACAAATTGCATTGTTTTCAAATTGTGTTTTTACGGATCTAATTCACTTCTTAGGGCACGCCTACAGAAATCAAGACCCATTTCTATTGGTCTGCATGGACGTAAGCAAGAGCATTTTATTGGTTAAGAGAGAGTTTGTGTTGTAGATAATTACCAGAAAATGTGATCTGGAAAGCAGAAAAGGAAAGAATCCAGTCTGTAAAACTCTTATCTGAATATGATAAATCAAAAGTAATTGAAAATATATAATCCCAAAAATTAAAGAAAAATAGAGTTAACATAATTAAATTAAATGTATATATGAAAAAACATGTTGGGAGAAAATGAAATATAATAAACAGTTAGGTTATTTTCAAAACATTTTTTTATAGAGAACATTTTCAGTGTTTCACTTCTGGTTTGATATTACGTGATAGAAGTTCGTTTTACAAAAACGTGTTATTTTCTTGCAACAGTAATGGAACAAAATTCACTCCATAGGCCTGTTGCACAGCTTGTACTTTAAAAACTGTATTTTGATGAAGAAGTTAATTTAATTTCTGGATTGTTTCAAATTTATATTCACAAACAATAATTTCACCAAATGACATCACAGGTGATCCCTCTCTAGCTCCAGTCCAGCTGCCACCCAAGTCCTGAAATCTTTCCCCTACTTTTCTCACCCGTCACTTCGTATGCGCATATTTGCAAAAGATAAATGCAACAAACTTTTCACCTTTCGGAAGTACATGTCTCATGAAGAAGCTAGTAACTCCTAACAAATAATGCTGTAAACAAGAGAGCTTCATATTGGCAAATGACTGTTTTCAACTGAGTGTTTTGATCCAGCTAAGCCCTGAGTGGC